AGGCTAAGTCAGTCAGAAGCCGAGTAACACGCGAAGCATCAGATCCCATAACAAGGATATCATCCACATAAACAAGCACATATAAAGATACAGAGTCACGAGTGTATATGAATAAAGAGACATCAGTCTTTGAAGGTGAAAAACCAACCGACACCAAGAAAGCATGTAACCTGTTAAACCATGCGCGAGGAGCCTGCTTAAGACCATAGAGTGACCTCTGTAATAAGCATACATCATCCGGTCGTGACGAGTCCTCATAGCCAGGCGGCTGTCGCATGTAGACTGTCTCTGCAAGATTACCATTTAGAAAGGCGTTGTGAACATCCAACTGCCGAATTACCCAACCGCGAGAGACAGCCAAGGAGAGAAGAAGCCGCACGGTTGTGGGTTTTACAACAGGACTGAAGGTCTCAAAAAAGTCCTGTCCTGCGACTTGATTGAACCCCTTAGCCACCAACCGAGCCTTGTGCCGCTCAATCGTGCCATCAGCCTTGCGCTTCGTCTTGAACACCCATTTGCAGCCTACAACATTCATACCAGGTGTGCGACTAACCAGACGCCAAGTGTGATTCTGGAGCAAGGCATTAAACTCAAGATCCATGGCCTCACGCCATTCCGGATACCGAACTGCCTGAGAATAACAGGTCGGCTCAGAAACAGTCATAAGAGCCACATGCTGCGTCGGCCCCAAAGAACGAGTCACCATAACATGAGACCGAGGTGGAACCGGTTTTACCGTGCGCCGACCTCGCTTGGGCGCCTTAGGAGCACCCGAGACTGCCACATCTGGAGCCACGGCAGTCTCGGTGCGGGAATCAGAAGCAGCACCAGCAGCCCCGGAATCTGTGTCCATCTCCGGACGAGGATCCGGCCCAGCAGAACAAACACCGGAGCTTGCGCCAACCTGAACGGCGCCAACACCCCACGGCTCAATCGAGCGAGAGCTAGAGACCTGAGAGGGGACAGAAGAAGCAAATGGAAATATGGTTTCATCAAACCGCACATGACGGCAAATGAATACCTTGTTAGTAGCAGGATCAAAACAACGATAGCCACGAAACGAAGACGGATAACCAAGAAACACACACGGAGAAGACCGATACTGCAACTTGTTACGATTATACGGGCGTAACAGAGGATAACAGAGACAGCCAAACACACGCAAGAAAAAGTAAGAAGGACTAGAACGATGCAACCGAGAATGAGGACTATCATTATCTAAAACCCGAGTCGGCATCTTATTGATGAGATAGACCGCAGTCTCAAAGGCATAATCCCAATATCGTTGTGGAACCGAAGCCTGGGCCAAGAGAGCCAAACCCGTTTCCACAACGTGACGATGCCGACGCTCAACTCTACCATTCTGCTCATGGGTATAGGCACAAGACTGCCTATGATTAATACCCAAAGAGACAAAAGTACGGTGCAACCGTTTATACTCTCCCCCTAAATCAGATTGAATAGAGACAATCTTACGACCATATGAACGCTCAACTAGTGACCGAAACTGCTCGAAGATAGCATACACATCAGTTTTCAAACGCATAGGATAAAACCATACATAGCGCGTATAGTCATCAACAAACAAAACAAAATAACGAAAGCCATTGACGGAAAGAAAAGGCGCTGGGCCCCAAATATCAGTATATATAAGTTCTAAAACATGAGACGTAGTAGTATTGACACGAGGCAAGGGAAACCGTGAGGATTTCCCAAGCATACAAGCACGACACAATTCCGAAGTATCACTAAAACTAGACTGAACAGAACATGAATTTAAAATCTGCCGCAAGACACGCGGGTGAGGATGACCCAACCGGCTATGCCACACGTCAGAGGAGACTCGAGAGGCCACAAACGCAGCGGGACTTGAACGAGAGATAGGCCAAGAATAGAGACCCCCCGAAGTCGGCCCTTTATATAGAACTTCCCTGGTTGAACGATCCTTCACAAAGAAACAATCAGGGTGAAACTCAAAAAAGACATTATTATCACGAGCAAACCGTTGCACAGACAATAAAGACGCAGAAAGCCCAGGAACATGAAGAACATCAGACAATCGAAACAGTGTTTTAGATGCGGCTAACGAAGATGAACCAGTACTAACAATAGGTAAACACTTACCGTCACCAACACGAAGATGATCCGGACCATTATAAGGAACCGCCGAGGACATTAAAGACGGATCCGGAGTGGCATGATTCGACGCACCAGTGTCAGGAAACCACTGCTGAGGATTAACCGAAGCCGAATCATCAACAGAATATGCAACATGTGCCCGCGGCCCCGGAGCGCCATCATAACGACGATAGCACGAAGCGGCCGAGTGGCCTTCGCCGGAGCAGATCTGGCACTGGATAGCCCTGGCGCCACCTCGACCGCGGCCTCGGCCCTTGCCACGACCTCGGCCTCGATTGCCGCCGCCACGCTGCTGCCCGCCCGAGCGACCTCCACCTCGCTGAGCCGCCATGGCGACCGGAGCAGCAGCAACGTCACCACCATCATCAGCACATATAAAGGCCTGCGAAACAAGAAAATCGGATAACTCGGGTAAAGACACCGGAGCACCCCTCGTCAGCGACGCCACCAAAGGGCGATATTCGGACCGCAAGCCCCGGAATATATACATATTCTGATCTTCTAGTGTCACCGGACGGCCGGCAAGTGCCAAATCCTCAATAAGCACCTGAGCACGCCCAAGATAATCCGGGATCGAAGCATCCCCCTGCCGCAATCCTTGCAGTTCGCCCACCAACCGAAGAGCATGGGCCCGAGTCGTCGAACCAAGAACCTGTTCGATCGCCACCCACAAATGCCGAGAGGAGGTTTTACCGATGGCAAGATGCATCATCTCGTCGGACAAGGACGAGATCAACAAGGAGAGCACGGCCTTATCTTGACGAAGCCATGCACTCCGAGCGGCGGACGATACGGCCGACGAAGACACGGCAGCAGCAGCCTCCTCGGCAGAAGGTACCGTAATCGCAGTAAACGGGGGACACACAGACGTTCCATCGACAAAACCCAATAATCCTTGGCCATCCAGGAACGGAAGAAGCTGAGTGTGCCAAAACAAAAAATTACGGGATGTCAATTTGATGGAAACGAAGTGATGAGCCGAAGAAAACGACACCCCGGACTGCAGGGGTGCCACAAGCGCAGCCTCAGAAACAGTCCGTTCAGAACTTCCAACAGAACCGCCATCAGAACCGAGGTGCGCCATAGAGAGAGAAAAAGAACCTGCTGATACCAAATGAGGATATAATATTTCTGAATAAATCAAATAATAAGTCTGTACAGGAATATATATAGTAGCGAATAGCAAACCTAATACAAGACTAATACTAGTAACAATAGGTAACGAATACTAATAATAATAGAGTCCTAATAAGGATAAGTGGACTTTACACTCACAGATAAAACATGGCCAAACTCATCAAAATTGATCATCTTATTCGACATTCCTTCAGGGACTAACTTTTATTATCTAAATATATAATAAAAAATAAGATCAAATATAAATTATTTGCTCGAATTTGTATGTATCGATTTTTTTTTTTAATGTTACCATTGCTTGAATTCGAGCAAACAATTGCACAATTATCCGTGTAGTGCGCGTGCAATGCACGGATAGAATTTTTTATTATATATTTAGATAATAAAATTGAGTAATTAAGAAATGTTTATTTGATTAGAACTATATTTTGTTGTGGTGTTACTACCCATGATAATTGGCTAATTGCACGGAAATGTGATGAAGTGGTTCAAACATTTGCCTCAAAAGGTTGAATCTCCAACTCCAAGGACCCCGTCCGATAGAGCATCTCTGAAAATGTAAATTATGGTAACTCGAACATTATTAGAAGGTCATGACTTGTTCTCCAACAAAAAAAAAATCACGAGTTAACTAGTTTTTTTTTTTATTCCCGTGAATTCTCGAATAAGATAGTAAGGTAAAATGTACCCAGGTCTGTTACTTTTGATTTTATTCCCATGAATTCTCGTATTTTTTCGAATGGAATACTAACGTAACGATGTGCCCAGATTTGTTACTTTTGATTTTATTCCCATTTTAGGCACTCGAATGGGATAGTAACGTAACGATTCAATCCAAAGTTTTGAATCATTAAAACCAACGACCGGCCCTCTAAATACTACAAGTAGCTTAGTTTCCAGTTTCCTCAGCATATCATACATCATATGGTAAAGAGAAAATTGTAAAAAATACTCCTCTATAATATGCTAATTATCAATGTCACCCCTGAATTATGAGTGGTGTAAATGTTGCTCCTTAATTATCAAAACGGTGCACATATAGCCCCACCCGTAACGGACATGTGATTCCTCGTTAGTGTACAACTCCGTTAAGTCGAAGTAAATATGTAATTTAGTTGTTTTTTCACTCCCTCAATTCGAAGAGAAACGGTCTCCCTGAATATGCTCTCCCTGAATATGCTTTTCAGAAGATAATGAGATTAGGGAAATAGCCTATTGTTGTAGCTATTCATTGTTATTTTATGATTCTTTATTTGATAAGTCAAGGATTTTATAATACTTTGATTTAAGTATCTATTGTTAATTTAACGGTATTATTTGTAATCTGATTCGAGGTTAATATAATTTAGCACATTTTTTTTGCTACGATTTGGATTGGGCTCTCCTTTAATTTTTACGGAGTATTTATTTATTCCTGTCTGAATTACTTCTTTTTCTTCCTATATATGATACTCCGTACGATGGATGGATAGTTTGTAGAGCAGTATATGGTGCTTGTGAGTTGTGACTGTCAATTTAGAATTGATATGGTTGATTTTGAGTATTGATATATTATGGTTTATGGGTTTGTAATGTACGATGAATTAATCAATTTATATATATGTTTGATCCTGTTAGGTACCGGTACCGATTTCTTGAATGAATAATAAACATATATATTCTAATCTTAATTTGATGATGACTAATAAACATATATATTCTGATCTTAACTTAATGATGTGAAGGAAACAATTGTGAGTGCGATTGTGGGATATGCATTCGAGGGGTGGATGACTGATAAAGTATGGAATGGAAGAAAGATTGTGTTTACTTAACCACCTTGGACGGGTGAGGGGTGGATGACTAATAAGTATGGAATGGAAGAAAGATTGTGCTTACTTAACCACCTTGGACGGGTGATTGTTGTTTGGCGTTTATGTTGTACCAAAACAAGAAGTTGGGTTTGTATCCTTTTTCCAGCATCTTTTCGACCTCCTCGAATTGCAGTCCTTTGGTTTCAAGTACGAGGAAGAAGATGGCCACAGGTCCAGCGAGTGAACAGCCCGCAAACAAGAGGAATGTCCCTGAAGTGCCCATAGCCTCTATGAGAGTCAAGAAAGTGAGTGAGACGACGAGATTTGAAACCCAGTTAGCTACTACGGCTATTCCTCCTCCAACACCGCGGTATCTCGAAGGGTAAATCTCAGAATTCACGACCCATAGCAGTGTCCCTATCCCAGGAGTGTAGGATATGATGAACAATCCGAGAAGCAAGACTGCAAAGATCCCATATTTGCTGGGGCAGCCTTGTGTGTACCATGAACGCCCTTTTGATTGGCACGTGTGTTTCATTTCATCAGTCACAGATAAACAGGCTCCTGGATTATACTGTTAAGATCAAAATCCACATTGAGCCTGTTTATCTGTGACTGATGAAGTGAAACACACGTGCCACTTAGAAGGGCGTTCATGGTACACACAAGGCTGCCCCAGCAAATATGGGATCTTTGCAGTCTTGCTCATCGGATTGTTCATCATATCCTATGCTCCTGGGATGGGGACACTGCCATGGGTCGTGAACTCTGAGATTTACCTTTCGAGATACCGCGCTGTTGGAGGAGGAATAGCCGCAGTAGCTAACTGGGTTTCAAATCTCGTCGTCTCACTCACTTTCTTGACTCTCATAGAGGCTATGGGCACTTCAGGGACATTCCTGTTGTTTGCCGGTTGTTCACTCGCTGGACTTGTGGCCATCTTCTTCCTCGTACCTGAAACCAAAGGACTGCAATTCGAGGAGGTGGAAAAGATGTTGGAAAAAGGATACAAACCAACCTTGTTGTTTTGCTGCAACAGAAACACCAAACAGCAATCACCCGTCCAAGGTGGTTAAGTAAACACAATAATCTTTCAAGCAATTAGAAGCACAATATTTCTTTTTTATCTAGTTAATTTAGAAATAAAAATTAAAAGTTTTCAATTAAACTTAAAAGTTAGGCTCCATGAAGAAATGGTAAGAGCATATGTTTATTGTATTTCAACGTCGAGGTTTAAGCGTTCAAAACTTGTGCACACTATTATTATTATTGTTATAATTGTAATTTATTTCATAATATGTCTTTTGGCTTTTTCTTTGCGCACAGTAACATTTTACCACATTATTATTATTATTATTATTATTATTATTATTATTATTATTATTATTATTATTATTACCCGTGTGTTGCACGAAATAGATTTGTTATAATCTTTAAGAATATTTTGATCAATATACAAATATAAATGAGTAAAAGACAATTTTGGTCCTAGATTTATAGTGGCACGGACAATTTTAGTCCTTCATAAAAAAAAAATTAGACAATTTATGGACACTCATATTATGACGAGGACAATTTTGGTCCTCCGTCTATATTTCAGTTAGATGGCCGTCTAATAGGAGGGCAATTGCGTCAATTCACTCTATCTTCTTCTCCAACCTTCAATTCTCTGTAACTTCAACTTAATTTTTTAAAATGAGAGTCACGGCACCAACCAACCAACCAACTAGCTTACAGTCAATCATAAAGAAAACTCCCCTTCACCAAATTATACTTCACAATGTCGATGGGCTCGATCAAATTCTCTACACGTACGCCAAAAGGTAGGCAAGATCAAGGTGGTGCTAGGTGTTTGTGTTTTTGTCACGAAGATACAAATGAGCTCGACTCAAGTCAATGCCACGCCGAGGGAACAAAGGAGCGCAAGATTTCAGCTCCAAAGCCACCGCTTCGTTTGTGTTTTGATTTTGCGGGGTGGTGGATTTGAGGAGGAGCTGAAATGTCAGTCCAAGATCGAAACGGGTCGACCCAAAATCTCCCAAGGGGTTGAAACCCAGCAGAGATTCATTGCCTCGCTCTTGCATTCCCTAGACCAAAAACCTCGATTTTACCGCATGGGTTTCGGAGAATCTATACAAGCTCCTCACCATTGTGCTCCTCGCAGCCATCGTCGCCGATTTATTCTATTTCTGCAACGCCGCCGAGGGCTAGGGCGCCTTTCTGTGCATTGAGTCCACGCAGGCGCACTCTGTTAAACCCCAGATGCCTCAGATCAACTGGAATGACATCCCTACAATCCTAGATAAGTCTTCTCCCTATGCGAATTTTCGATTCAAGAAGTGGATCATTGTGTCTGTGTCCAATTACCCGTCAGATTCACTCAGGACGCTCACAAAGCTGAAAGGGTGGCAAGTTTTGGCTGTTGGGAACTCGAAAAATCCCAAAGATTGGAGCTTGAAAGCTGCAATTTACTTATCTTTGGAAGAACTTCGATATTGAATTGGTTGGGGAGACTGCTAGGCAGGAGATTATTTTGCAGTATAGTCATGAAAATCCTAATAAGACTGTTGTTAACCCTTATATACATTTTGGCCAAGAGGTTGCCATTGGAGAATGTGGGTGAGATTGAGCGCAAGGAATTCTACGCCGAGGTTTTTGGTGTGAGACAATTCATTCGGCAGGGAATTTCAAATGGTTTGCCTGATGTTGATTCGGTTTTCTATTTTACTAGGAAGTCAGGGCTTGAACCATTTGATATTCGGTTTGATGAGCGTGCTCCAAAGGTGGCATTGCCACAAGGGATAATGGTGCCACTGAATTCTTTCAACACCATATTTCAATCGTCTGCATTTTGGGGTTTGGTGTTGCCAGTTACAGAGAATTGAAGGTTGGAGAAGAAGATAGCATGGAAATTGACGTAATTGCCCTCCTCTTAGACGGCAATCTAACAGAAATATAGACGGAGGATCAAAATTGTCCTCGTCACAATAAGAGTGTCCACAAATTGGCTGATTCTTTTATGGAGGAATAAAATTGTCCGTGCCACTATAAGTCTAGGACCAAAATTGTCTTTTACTCAATATAAATTATAACAACGAATATTATATAGTGCAATTGATGAAATGGGTTGTATCGATTATGTTTTTTGATGTTATCCTTGCTTGAATTCGAGCAAATAATTGCCCAATTATCCGTACAGTGCGCGTGCAATACACGTGCGATGCACGGATAAAAAATTTTATTATATACTTAGATAATAAAATTGAGCAATTAAGAAATGTTTATTTGATTAGAACTATATTTTGTTGCGGTGTTACTACCCATGATAATTGCACGGAAAATGTGATGAAGTGGTTCAAACATTCGTCTCAAAAGGTTGAATCCCCAACTCCAAGGACCCCGTCCGATAGAGCATTTCTGAAAATGTAAATTATGGTAACTTGAACATTATTCTAGTATTAGAAGGTCACGACTTGTTCTCAAAAAAAAAAAAAAGAGAGAGAGAGAGAGAGAGTCAGGAATTAACTAGTTTTTTTTTTTTCCCCGTGAATTCTCGAATAAGATAGTAAGGTAAAATGTGCCCAGGTCTGTTACTTTTGATTTTATTCCCATGAATTCTCGTATTTTTTCGAATGGGATACTAACGTAACGATGTGCCCAGATTTGTTACTTTTGATTTTATTCCCATTTTAGGCACTCGAATGGGATAGTAATGTAACGATTCAGTCCAAAGTTTTGAATCATTAAAACCAACGATCGGCCCTCGAATGGGATAGTATGTCATTTGATTCTTCAACTCATTTGATAATGGTTTCATCATAAATAAATTTTTCAGTTAGGATCTAATTGAGTAAAACTTTAGCCCACAGGCAAGTTTTATGTCACTAGATTCTTCTGGCTCTTTAGTAATTGTGAAAAATATTATCATAAGGGTTTCTTAATTGGATTTAATATAATTAAAACTTTAGCCCACAGGCAAATTTTATGTCAATAAATCCCTTAACCTATTAGATAATAATTTTATCACAATTCTTAGAATTTATAAATTTAGTTCAATTATAATTCTAAGTTTCATGGTTTGCATTGGCAAAACATGTTTTTCAGTCACTTCCCAAAATTTAGCCACTTCTATTAATTAATCCACGAATCTTGCTCGGTTCTTCGGACTAACTGTAGTAAGTTACGTGATTTGACATACATCTTTTGGATTCCAATATTAATAAAAAAATGTATCTTTTGAGCCAAATTCTAACTTGATTTTGGAAGGTGTATTTTGATTATTTAGTATGTCCAACTATGGTGGGGAATTATATCTTCATTATTTAGTTGGACTTTAATTGGAACCAAAATTGATTATTTAGTATGTCCAACTAATGGTGGGGAATTATGTCTTCATTTGTTAGTTGGTCAATAAATCAATTATGAGTATATATATTATTAAGTTCACTTTATTAATTTCGCTGAAGAATGTTTTAATCAGTGGGAGTGATCATTTAGAAAAAGATCATTAAGATACTCTACTAAAGTTTTTGGATTTAACTATTGTATTCATACATTCCAAATTGGATTGTATGTTAAACAACAAGTCCAAAATATTCCACAAGTACTAATCTTGTATTTGTTCATATAAATTCATAAGTTCAAATTATTGAACATTTGGTTGTACAACATATTTATGAAAATGTTGTAACAATATCAAAGAATTTATTAGAACAAAAGCATTTAACTTGTGGTGCACTGTCATTTAATAAATTCTTCAGTAATTAATAGAGTCTTTAGTTTCTTCAAAATTGATTCTGGGCCATTTCAGTTGTAAGGCTCAAACAATTTTGTGGGACATATAAGTAAGACTCGTTATGTTCAATTCATTTAAAATGGACATTGAAATTATTTGGGAAGTTATGGTGTATGTTTAAGATTCCAAATTTATGGACTTAGACCTTTGGTTTATTGTCTAAGTTATTGGAATGCTTCTGTGACTTGACTATCTTTTGGCTATTTTTGATGAGTGGGAGTGACAGATGTGTCAACTCCAAACTCTTAGCTGTTAGAGATAGTACTTAAAGTTAACTTATAAAGAAGTCATGGAATATAGTTAGCATTATGCTAACATGAAGAGATCTCTACTTAAGGCATGCTTATAAAGTTTTAGAGATCATACAGTGTACTCTTTTGTACAATTTGGATGTGTTTTCTCCTTCAGTTGTGCACATAATGTATTTTGAGAAACATCCTTTAAGGTACCGAGAATAAACATAGGGTTTGTTCATTAAGGACCTAGGTTGGAGAATTAAAATGCATGTGACCATAATGGATACTACTCTGATTAAATAGAGGAGATGTCACTATGATTCATGTGTTTTGTTCTTTGGTGAAGGTTGTGCTAGTACTTGCACCAAGTGGGAGAATGTAAGATTTTCCCTAATAATATATATTATATATTATATTTAGAGCCTTAATTAAGTGGTGCAAGTTGACTAGGCTTATTAAGTGGTCTGGTTGGACTTAATAACTAGTAGTTGTTAGTCAACCAAACTCTGTGCCTAATATAATCATGGATTGATGGGATACAGGATGTTGGATGTTAGCACATTCAGTTACGGTACTCAGACTGCTCAGTAGACACCAATACACCATCTAGGGTTCTGAGTCAGGTCTGAGGCAAAACATGACTAACGGTCTACCGTTAAGAGGCAACACAACAGGAACATCAACTATGGCTGGAGATCAACACGGCTACGCTTCCGCTATCGTACGAGGTCAGGTTTCTCGTATACTATGATTTATTATAGTCAGACTATTTAGATCTAACATATCAAACATCATACGATAAATTATCAGCCATGGAGGGAAGTCGTGAAGAAGCTGGCCATGGTGCAGACAAAACGAAATTCACAGAATGTTGGCAAACAACTCGTAAAACACCTTACATCATACGCCTTGCCATGTCTGCTGGCATGCGCCTTACCCGTGCGTTGCCCGAAATAGATTTGTTATAATCTTTAAGAATGTTTTGATCAATATACAAATATAAATTATAACAACGAATATTATATATTACAAATGATGAAATGGATTGTGTCGATTACGTTTTTTGATGTTATCTTTGCTTGAATTCGAGCAAATAATTGTCCAATTATCCATGCAGTGCGCGTGCAATGCACGGATTAAATTTTTTATTATATATTTAGATAATAAAATTGTTACTATTTCTTTAATCCTTTCAAAATTTGTTAAATATTCATTCAAATACGTGTGAATACGTATCAATGCAGAACCTGAAATTTTTTGTATGAGCAGAAACGGACATGGGGACCGTTTCTACATTAAGAGAAACGGTCTCCCTGAATATGCTTTTCCTTAGTTGATATCTGATTAGAATAATATAGATTAGAAAAAATTACGGTATTAATTTTAAAGATTTTGATTTTGATAGGGCCTCATTTATTTACCCGAACAAGACCACAAAAATCTAAAAACCGGCTCTGGTTCTCGGAGGAGACGAGACGCACCTGCAAATATGAAGAAGATGAAACACATCGGAGGCCGTCGCCGTCGCCGCTATCTCGAAGCTAAGGCTATGGTTTGAGATGGTCTGCGAGATACAAAGAGGTATGGTTTTAAGAATGTTTTTCTTTGCCTTAACCGTAGCCTGAAGGAAGAAGAAGGTATGGGTTGAGAAAAGTTCAGTCTTAACAGCAATTTGAAGGGATAAGGGAAATGGCCTGGGAGGATGCAGAGAGAGTTTACTTATGTCTCATGGCATCTGGAGGCCGGTTTGTTTGACAAAAGCTTGCTGACTGCTGCTGCCGGTAATTGTCCGATGGTCTCTCCGTGTATGCCTAATGCTCCTCACATCTCTACATGTTTCCTCTTCCTTCCGTGTAGAAATGCAAATAACCCTTTAATTGGCATGCTTTTTCACTTTACCGGTCAAATATGCATATACTAATAATTTTCCATCCTATTTTTGTGCCTATACATGTATGGACGAAGGGCGTGCGTATATTTGCATGAAATAAGCAAACAAATATATATATATATATATATATATATATATATATATATATATATATATATATTAACTAGATAAATAAATAATAGTAATAGCAAAAGAAATCCACCATTTCCCACTCATGGTGTTATTACCGTCCTTTTTTTTTTTTTATTATTATTATTATTATTATTATTATTATTATTATTATTATTATTATTGTTGTTGTTGTTATTGTTGATGTTATTTTTACTATTGTTACTAGCAGGCCACAGAACAATTCAAAATACTTTCCTGTGATATCGATTTCGCGAATCTCTAGAAAGTTGGGGACTAGATGATGGATAATATACTAGGCTTGGGCCACACGGACCGGCCCATGAAAGCAACTAGATTAAGGAAGTCCAAGAAGGATACCCAGTACGGAACAACTCAAGAATTTGTTAAGGTAAATTATGGTGTGTAATCGTGTGCACCATGTATGGTGCACACATGGTGCACACGGTTGTAAAACGACGTTGTTTTGACTAAAAACGCGCGTCACACTTAAAAAAAAAAAAAAAAATTCAGGTTCGATTCCCGGCAATAACATTTTTTTGTGCATAATTTGAATTATATATCCACAAGTTCATAACTATATAACCACAAATTCATAACTATATATCCACAGTGAATGAATAACACAAAATCTAGAATGAATGAACTAAATATCCACAATGAATGAACTAAATGTCCATAAATTCATAATTATATATCCACAATAATTCATAACTATATATCCACAATAATGCTGTTGTGGAGAATCGAAACTGAATTTTTTTTAAAATGGGACGCGCGTTTTTAGTCAAAACGACGTCGTTTTGCAACCGTGTACGTGCACCATGCATGGTGCACACGGTTGCACAACATAACTATTGGTTCGTTAAGGATTGGGCTTATTATTCCCAATATAATCCGAATTTGACTCATTATTTCTAATATAATAAAATTAGGTCTTATTATGTAACTAAGACTCCCAATATGAGGCAGTCTAGAATTCTTATTTCTTATAAGGCTCTAGGCTCAAAATCTGTATAAATAGACTTCTCACGGAGAGGGGAACAACTCTCAGCAATTCACAAGCAATACTCATCAACGTGTCCGCAAGACTTGGATTCCCGAAATTGTCCACATTTGGGATTTGTGACTTTGATTTTATTCTCATTTTAGAAAATTCATTCATTGAAGCTTTGGCCTTGTACGCTCTCAGCTCTCTGGTAAAGGTTTCTGCAGATCGAAGCGACAGTTTTCTTCATCAAGCAAGTAACATGGTTGATATCGAGGCTCATCATCTCCCAACTGCTTTTGATCCGTTTGGCGAGGCCGAGGCCAAGGAATCGGGCGCCCCTGGAACGAAAGAGAATGTGCATATCCGCATCCAGCAGAGGAATGGAAAGAAGAGTGTGACGACAGTGCAAGGGCTGAGGAAGGAGTACAGTTACGACAAGATCCTTAAAGACCTCAAGAAAGAGTTGTGCTGCAACGGTAATGTCGTGCAGGACAAGGAAGTGGGGAAGGTGATACAGCTCCAAGGCGATCAGCGCAAGAACGTGTCCCAGTTTCTTGTCAATGCTGGGCTCGTGAAGAAGGATCGGATTAAGATTCATGGTTTCTAGTCCTTTACCTGGATTGTCGATCTGTGTGCAATCATAAAACTATACATTATACAACTATATTGCAGTACTGGTGTTGTTTGCCTTTTTCTTCTTTTTTTTTTTTCTGAATTTTTCTTTTTGAATTGATTTTCATGCCCATAGTCATGTCATGGGGTGGCTGTTGAATTGTAATTCCACTCTTTATTCCAGCAATAAATTTGGGTTTTATATTTATTGAATTCTGGAATTTGAGATGAATGGGATAGTTGCGTATTTAATCTTGCTTAGTTTCGGTTCTAAAAATTGTTATTCCTATGATTTCCTTTAAATACTACACTGTAACTAGCTTATTTCATTTTTACCTAGTTAGTTTAGAAATAAAAATTAAAATTTTTTAATTAAACTTAAAAGCTAGGCTTCATGAAGAAATGGTAGGAACATGTTTATTGTAATTGTAATTGTTATTTATTACATAATATGTCTTTTGACTTTTTCTTTGTGCACAGTAATATTTTACCAGCTTATTATTATTATTATTATTATTATTATTATTTTTACCCGTGCGTTGCCCGAAATAGATAAATTTGTTAAAATCTTTAAGAATATTTTGATCAATATACAAATATAAATTATAACAACGAATACTATATAGTGCAATTGATGAAATGTGTTGTATCAATTAAGTTTTTTAATGTTATCATTGTTTGAATTCGAACAAATAATTGACCAATTATCCGTACAGTGCGCATGCAGTGCACGGATAAAATTTTTTATTATACATTTAGATAATAAAATTGAGTAATTAAGAAATGTTTATTTGATTAGAACTATATTTTGTTGTGGTGTTACTACCCATGATAATTGCACGGAAAATGTGATAAAGTGGTTCAAACATTCGTCTTGAATCCCCAACTCCAAGGACTCCGTCCGATAAAGCATCTCTGAAAATGTAAATTATGATAACTCGAACATTATTCTAGTATTAGAAGGTCACGACTTGTTCTCCAAAAAAAAAAGTCACGAGTTAACTAGTTTTTTTTTCCCGTGGATTCTCGAATAAGATAGTAAGGTAAAATGTGCCCAGGTCTGTTACTTTGATTTTATTCCCATGAATTCTCGTATTTTTTCGAATGGGATACTAACGTAACGATGTGCCCAGATTTATGACTTTTGATTTTATTCACATTTTAGGCACTCGAATGGGATAGTAATGTAACAATTCAGTCCAAAGTTTTGAATCATTAAAACCAACGACCAGCCCTCTAAATACTACAAGTAGCTTAGTTTAATTTCATGTTTCCTCAGCATATCATACATCATATGATAAATTATCAGCCATGGAGGGAGGTCGTGAAGAAGCTGGCCATGGTGCAGACAAAACGAAATTCACAGAATGTTGGCAGACAACTCGTAAAACACCTTACATTATGCGCTTTGCCATGTCTGCGGGCATGCGCCTTACCCGTGCATTGCACGAAATAGATTTGTTATATTCTTTAAGAATATTTTGATCAATATACAAATATAAATTATAACAACGAATATTATATAGTGCAATTGATGAAATGGGTTGTATCGATTATGTTATTTCGATGTTATCCTTGCTTGAATTCGAGCAAATAATTGTCCAATTATCCGTGCAGTGCGTGTGCGATGCACGGACAAAAAATTTTTATTATATATTTAGATAATAAAATTGTTACTATTTCTTTAATGCTTTTAAAATTTGTTAAATATTCATTCAAATACGTGTGAATACGTATCAATGTAGAACACTTCTGAAATTTGAAACCCAGTTAGCTACTGCGGCTATTCCTCCTACAACAGCGCGGTATCTCGAAGGGTAAATCTCAGAATTCACGACCCATGGCAGTGTCCCCATCCCAGGAGTGTAGGATATGATGAAAAATCCGAGGAGCAAGACTGCAAAGATCCCATATTTGCTGGGGCAGCCTTGTGTGTACCATGAACGCCCTTCTGACTGGTACGTCTGTTTCATTTCACAGTCACAGATAAACAGGCTCCTGGATTATACTGTTAAGAAGATCAGATCAATCCAGAAATGGTAAGAATTTTATTTTGCAAAAAAGTGGTACAATAGAAGATAATTTTGAGTTAGAAAGTGTACATTGTTGGAAAAAATAGCATTAAAATGGCATATAATGATATGTTAAGTGGCTATTTTGTGGTACAATTATCAGTGGGGTCCACTTCCAATTTGGATCGGGTCAAAGTGGATTCGGATTCTTCGTAGTGAGACGAAGAGATTGATATATTGTACGCTCAAAACGGATATTGGGTGAATGAGATATTGATTCTCAAAGTAGACCCATTGAGTTGGAAAAATGAAGGGAAAAAGTGAGCTTTTGTCCCACATTGGTTTGGAAAAAGGATTTGACCCCCCTTTTATACAAGAGCTTTTTTAGAGCTTGTAGAATTGTATAGCATAGAGACTTGCTCTCGTGCTCGCCCAGCCGAGAGCAATGCGTTGCTCTCATGCTCACCTGCCCGAGAGCAACTCGTACTCTCGAGGGTAGCAGCAGTGTTTCTACACGGATTGAGAACTCTGCTCCTACTTCATTCTTGAAGCTGTGTTCTAGTTCGCCGGGTTCGTTCGTTTGGGTGCTCAAACGTCGAACCGTTGTACGTTTTATCCTGGGAAACCTAGGCCACAACGCTCCTAGCACTTTTGGGATCGCCGGGTTCGTTCGTTTGGGTGCTCAAACGTCGAACCGTTGTACGTTTTATCCTGGGAAACCTAGGCCACAACGCTCCTAGCACTTTTGGGAGGTGGCAAATAAGGTTTTAAGGAAAGACAGGCACTTTGCCTAACTCGTACATTTCTTTCTTCCTTTTCCTTCTTTCTTGTTTTGGATTATGCTTTTAAGCAAAAATCCGTTCTTTCTTGTTAATTTGGAATTATAATCTAAGGATTATATTTTCTTTTTGGTTGATATATATTGGTATATCTTTTTCGTAGATATACATTTATATATAACCGTTGGGTCCGTCTTATATATATTTGTGTGTATATATATAAATATTATTTTATGGATATTAAATCGATTGTGGTTCATTATCACCAACAATCTTAAAACCTTATCTATTTTGATAATGAACAAATCGATGGACTCCAAGAGTATTGGATCCGTGAATGTTGCCGTAGGTGCACATTCAAATGGTCGGAAAGGCAACGATGTTGCACATTCCGTGATGCCAGTTGATGGCAGCAACGTTGGAAATAATATTTCCATAGGAGTTGCTAAATCACACGATGGTGCTCCGGAAAATTTTGGTTCACGATCCGGTAGACCTGTGGCTGGTGACACACAATTGGTACCTATTGTGTTGTCTAGTGGATCGGCTAAAAGCCATGAAGGATCCTATGATGGTGTAATGACTACATGGTCTGAGGATTATGGTAGTGTTACAAATGACTTCAACCGTAATCGAAGGAAACTCAAGCGGAAGCTTAGCTTTCAAGAAGATTACGAGAAGAAGGAAAAATTCCACTATGAAGCGAATCGTCATCCTGGTGAAAAGGTTGAGGACAATTTTGCCATGTTCAAAACATGTGGATGGTTGGACGAGTGAGGTCACAACCGAGGTACCCCCGATGTGCGCTATGGACCACCCGTTGTGGAGTGGATGATTGGAAAATGGAACAAGGCACAAGGGTTGAAGGATTACTACGAAATAGGAATAATAGAAATTAGTTTCCAACGTAGTTTCCAACGTTGAATAAAATGAATTGTTCCATTTGTGGGTGTTGAACTTTGTATATTTTAAAAATAATCTTGTGTGATATTTTAATATATAAAAGATTCAATATGGGTGCGTAATGCATCATGGAGCATTATGTGGAAAATGCTAAAATGCCTTAACGGCTGGAACGAAATGTAACAAGGGTGTTACATGTTTGAAATCCCGTAAAAGGACTACGGTCCTGGTTCATGTAGAACGATGAGGATTTCAAGGATCAATTTGTCAAAAATTGGGATAGCTATATAATCGTGAGCGTCACAGCTCAATTGTTGAATATTTTAATTAATATTCTGAGAACGATTATATAAGTTTGATTCAACTAGTCGGAAATTTGGTTGATTTGTTCTTGTTAATTGTGTTATAATTAACTTGATCAAAAATTCCAAATTATACTAGTATATTTAATTTGAGACAAATTGTGTTTTGGTGAATAGTGTTTTTGTAGCACTAATGGAAAGTGCAATTTAATTTGGCATTTTGAAGTGCAAATTAAAACACTGCAATAGTGCTATTAAGCACTAGGTAGAGTGCTTAATTAGGCACTTTCGGCCACTTGGTGGCTGCACCTTTAGGTGTTGGAAACTTAAGCATTTGGTGCTTTGGTAAAAACAATAAAGGTGCTAGATTATGATTGGTCTCAATGCTAATCTACTTAGCTTAAACCTTTCGTGTGTGGCTAATTAAATTTAGCGTTGTAAAAAGTGCTAAGTGACTAGCACGAAAGGAGGTTTGGTTAATTGTGTAATTAACTAATAATCCTTGTGCTAGGTAGCACTGGAATTATAAATTAAGCAACCGAATGTTGCTATGAGTTTATAATTTAAAAGCAATAGAGATTGCTTTGGAATCGGTGCGTTAGTTTGGCAGCAATGATTTGTGCTTTGTGTAGCATGTTTCGTGCTTCACTACTAAGCACTGATTCGTGCTTCAATTTCGGAAGCACTGATTCAGGTTTGTGGCCTTTCAGTCAAAAACCGAATGGATTCGTGAGGGCTAATCTGTTAGCACCTACGAGATGTGTTAGCGTGTAACACATGTTTATTCTTTAAAGAATAAAAAGAGAAATACCAAATTAATCGTGGATTAATGCGGTTACGAACAATCGATGTGGTGAAAAAGGAAACACCTATTGGTGATTTCAGCGCAAGCGTTAGTGTCGTACTCGAGCGTACGGTATGGTATTCACCTCAATCAAACGTTGTTGCCGAACATAAAATATCAAGACGTTGATAAGTTCGGGTCTACCTCAAAGTATGAGGGGTGAGACAACACTTTGGACAAGTAAATACCTTTTTTAAATAAGGTTGCCCACATGAAATTCTTACGAATTGTGGGTACGTAGGAAGTTTCCTACTAATGCCCGAAATGTGGGGGTGTCTTGCCAAAGGTGTGTATTGGTTCTTAGTACATGAGTCCAAGAGTTTGGATGTACATAAGAACACGAAAGATTGATTCAAGAAATTCATCGTTCTTTGAAGATGTAATTTCTGTGAAGGTTCAATAAAGGACCTAGCACGTTGAAAGGAACTTTCGACGTAGCTATGGTTGAAGGGTATGAAAGAGAACCCGAGCTCAAAGCTAGACATAGCAAGAGAGCTAGGATTGAAAAATCCTTTGGTCCAAATTTTCTGACGTACATGTTAGAATGTGACGCACATATTCTAACTTGTTTACTAGAAAATAAATTGGATTTTCTGACAATGTTGTTAGAAAATGAGCCTCGAACATATGTAGAAGTGGTGACTTTTACAGGTGGACCAACCCAAGAGAGGCTATCGAGAGTGAAGTAGATTGTATCTTACAGAATCATACTTGGAACTGGTTGTTCTTCCTCCAGGTTGAAAAACCTCGGGATCCAAAGTGGATCACTAGTCGGAAGATAAAACCGGTTGGTTATATTGAAGTAAAATGGCCGGGCTTGTAATTGTAGATTACATGCAACGCGAGTGCCACGATTACTTCGATGTGTATTCTCTGGTGATGAGAATGAAATCCATTAGTATGACACTTGCCATAGCCGTCTAACGAGACTTGGAAGTTCATCAAAATGGATGTGTCGCTTTCTTAGTAGACATGGAACGACCTGAGGGTCTGTGGTTCCACGATGTGAAAAGAAAGTGTGTAATTGGTGAGATCATTGTATGGGTCGAAACAATTGCCTTAGTATTTGGCATGTAAGTTTTATCATACAATGATGTGTCACGAGTTTAGTATAAACAAATGTGATAAATGTCTACGTAATGCGTACGATAGACGAGGTTATCACTATCTGTCTATACACGATAAACTCAACGTGGGTAGTAACGATCACAGGATCAATTCTATCAAGAAACATGTTAAATTCGAGATTTGACATGAGAGGTGTGAGTTTGGCAGATTTAATCTTTGAGATTAAAATCGTGGAAAGACCGTATGGTCTCGTGTTAAGCCAATCTCATTAAGTTTGATTGAATCCTTGTAAAGGATGATAATCAAGTGGCTTGGACACCGTTAGATACTAACGTACAACTAGCCAATAATCACGGAGATTGTACTTCTCGTGGAGAACACATTCAAATTATTGGTAGTTTAATTGTATCAAATGGGTTGTACTAGGCCGGATATTGCCTTTGTGGTTAACGAACTTGGTAGACATACGAGTAACCCTAGTGTTGCGCACTAGAAGGCAATAGCGTGAGTTATGAGATACTTAAGGTATGCTCGTACTCTAGACTGCACTACGTGGGATATCTAGCCGTACTTGGAAAGTATAGCACGGATATCAAAGGACACTAAGTCCATCAAAGGCTACGTCTTTACGTAGGCCAGTGCAGCCGGTTGGACGAAAATTCTCGAAATGAATTTGTGATAGCTAAGATCCGACGGGATCAAAGCTGAGAGCCTTACACTCGTGTCGCGAGCGAGTAGGCCGAATGGCTAAGCCATTATTTCGAGAATGTTCCTAGTGGTGAACTCGTACCTCCAATTTGTGTGCATTGTGATAGTCAAGCCAAAATTGGTTAAGTACAGAGTTAAATGTGGAATGGTAAGTCTAGACTTATAAGTCGTAGATATAATACCATTAAACAATTTCTCACAACGGGGGTTATCTCTATTGACTACGTGATGTCAAAAGATAACGTAGCGGCCGCTAACTCGCTAACCCAAGGGTAAGCAAATGGTTGTGGAGAAATTGGAACGAGGAATGGGTCTAAAGCCCTTAGACTAAAAGTTCTATAGTGGACACCCAACCTAGCTGGTACCTAGGTTCAATGGGACAACTAAATTATGGAACGGAGCGTGTCACTGTGGGGGTCTCGGACTCCCTATCACTCCTCGTTAGAACAGTGACTCCCGCGCAAGGTTAGCATGTTGATGCTTTAATGATTCGAATGTCGGTTGACATGTGTGAGTATGCGGGATACTCGAAAAAGAATCACCTATGTGAGAGAGAAGTGAGGGTCGCTTCAAAGGAGAATTGATGGGCACAATTCTTCACAAACTCTTGCAGAACCAGGACGGTGACCCACGACCAAAATGGGCACACTCATGAGAACAGAGCATGGTTGGGAGATTCCTGTGTGAGATATGTCATCGTCTACACAAACGGCAGTCGGTTCAAAGACATCGTGTTCTACCGTACAGCCAGTAGAGTAAACATATCTTTACAAGGGAAGGTTCAAAGGGTATAGTGATCCCTACCTATCCTATGCAGGGATCGACCGTTGAACACAGTTTGTTTCCGATTTTAAAATACCCTGAAAATCAATTTTTCATTCATGTGGGGGATTGTTGGAAAAAATAGCATTAAAATGGCATATAATGACATGTTAAGTGGCTATTTTGTGGTATAATTATCAGTGGGGTCCACTTCCGATTTGGATCGGGTCAAAGTGGATTCGGATTCTTCGTAGTGAGACGAAGAGATTGATATATTGTACGCTCAAAACGGATATTGGGTGAATGAGATATTGATTCTCAAAGTAGACCTATTGAGTTGGAAAAATGAAGGGAAAAAGTGAGCTTTTGTCCCACATTGGTTTGGAAAAAGGATTTGACCCCCCTTTTATACAAGAGCTTTTTTAGAGCTTGTAGAATTGTATAGCATAGAGGTTCTCTCTCGCGCGCGCGCGGGGGGGGGGGGGGTGCAAATCAAATTCCAACTAGAAACGAGATCAAAAGGCTCAAGCTCGAGCTCGTGTGCGCGGGCACGAATGTCGTCCGAAAATTGGCTGGCCTTGCGGGCGCCACTTGACAGCTAGCAACACGAGACTTGCTCTCGTGCTCGCCCAGCCGAGAGCAACACGAGAGTTGCTCTCGTGCGCACCCAGCCGAGAGCAACGCGAGAGTTGCTCTCATGCTCACCTGGCCGAGAACAACTCGAGAGTTCGCGTTGCTCTCATGCTCACCTGGCCGAGAACAACTCGAGAGTTGCTCTCGCGCTGCCGAGTTGCTCTTGTGCGCAGTGCGAGGTTGAAACTTCGGTCTACCAGATACGTCTCTGGACAGTTGGAGATTTAATTCATCCGTTACAGAATTAATTTCTGTATTTGATTTTTGAATTAAATCTACACTAAAGACCAGCTGTTTCAGATGTTACAAGGCTGGTGTTAATGGCCTAGTTAAATGCTATTTGATGTCCTACGTCCCTATATAAGAAGGAGGGTAGCAGCAGTGTTTCTACACGAATTGAGAACAACACACACAACACAGAAACTTCGTTTTCCCAGCTCCAAAAATCTCTGCTCCTACTCCATTCTTGAAGCTGTGTTCTGCCCGTGCTCTAGTTCGTCGGGTTCGTTCGTTTGGGTGCTCAAACGTCGAACCGTTGTACGTTTTATCCTGGGAAACCTAGGCCACAACGCTCCTAGCACTTTTGGGAGGTGGCAAATAAGGTTTTAAGGAAAGACAGGCACTTTGCCTAACTCGTACATTTCTTTCTTCCTTCTCCTTCTTTCTTGTTTTGGATTATGCTTTTAAGCAAAAATCCGTTCTTTCTTGTTAATTTGGAATTATAATCTAAGGATTATATTTTCTTTTTGGTTGATATATATTGGTATATCTTTTTCGTAGATATACATTTATATATAACCGTTGGGTCCGTCTTATATATATTTGTGTGTATATATATATTTCGGATACATATATCCAATAATATTTTATATATATTTCGTGTGTATATATATAAATATTATTTTATGGATATTAAATCGATTGTGGTTCATTATCACCAACATACATATCTATCGAAGTAACACAGATAAAAATGAACTAACTTACTTTGCCGGTTTTGTTAGAGCATAACGCACAATGGTGAGAGGTGGCATGTTGATGCACACACGAGTTGCAGGTCCAGGATGATGGTTGATTTGATAGTGTGGAGCAGGTTGAATTGAGGCCAAAGTGTTGGGATTGGGATAGGCTAACTCACGGGGAATGTTGAGAGGTGAGATAAAGGACACCAGATAAGAGAGTCAAACAAGTTATGATCCTGAACAGGGAGATCATCAGCCTCCTCCTCCCATACCTGTCTACAAGCAGCATACTGATGATTGTTCCCACAGCATTGAGGCCTGAGGTTACGAGCGACAACACGAAAGCTGTGGTGTTTGAAGCAAACACCACAGCTCTCGCGTTGTCTCTTGTAACCTCAGGCCTCAATGCTGTGGGAACAATCATCAGTATGCGGCTTGTAGATAGGTATCGGAGGAGGAGGCTGATGATCATCTCCATGTTCGGGATCATAACCTGTTTGACTCTCTTATCGGGTCTCCTTTATCTCGCCTCTCAACATTTCCCGCCAGTTAGCCACTCCCAATCCCAAGGAGGAGGCTGATGATCATCTCCATGTTCGAGATCATAACCTGTTTGACTCTCTTATCGGGTCTCCTTTATCTCGCCTCTCAACATTCCCCGCCAGTTAGCCAGTCCCAATCCCAATCCCAAGGAGGAGGCTGATGATCATCTCCATGTTCGGGATCATAACCTGTTTGACTCTCTTATCGAGTCTCCTTTATCTCGCCTCTCAACATTCCCCGCCAGTTAGCCAGTCCCAATCCCAACACTTAGGCCTCAATTCAACCTGCTCCACACCATCAAATCAACCATCATCCTGGACCTGCAACTCGTGTGTGCATCAACATGCCACCTCTCACCACTGTGCCTTCTGCTCTAACAAAGCTGGCAAAGTAAGTTAGTTCAATTCATCTGTGTTAAGTTACTTCGATCTGTACACTTTCTAACTCAAAATTTTTACCATTTTTGGATTTTGATCTTAACAGTATAATCCAGGAGCGTATTTATCTGTGACTGATGAAATGAAACACTCAGAAGGGCATTCATGGTACACACAAGGCTGCCCCAGCAAATATGGCATATTTGCAGTCTTGTTCCTCGGATTGTTCATCTTATCCTACACTCCTGGAATGGGGACACTGCCATGGGTCGTGAACTCTGAGATTTACCCTTCGAGATACCGCGCTGTTGGAGGAGGAATAGCCGCAGTAGCTAACTGGGTTTCAAATCTCGTCGTCTCACTCACTTTCTTGACTCTCATAGAGGCTATTTGCACTTCAGGGACATTGCTCTTGTTTGCCGGTTGTTCACTCGCTGGACTTCTGGCCATCTTCTTCCTCGTACCGGAAACCAAAGGAGGATACAAACCCAGCTTTTTGTTTTGCTACAACAGAAACACCAAACAGCAATCACCCATCCAAAGTGGTTAAGTAAACACAATCTTTCCAGCAAAATAACCTTTAGCTAGTTTCAATTCCCGAATGGAGTATTATATTGCTTATATATTATGTTATTCCTTGTACACATTCATCTTATATTGCTTTTATGTTATTCCTTGTACACATTCATCTTATATTGCTTATATATTATGTTATTCCTTACACATTCATCTTATATTGCTTATATATTATGTTATTCCTTGTACACATTCATCTTCTTCAATTCTCCGATCCCCCATTCTTCTGTTAAGACATTATTAGTCACCATTGAAATGCAGTGCAAGAAAATCCAGCAGGGAAGAACAAACAGTAAAGTGGAAACAACATATATATGAAAGAAGGCTTTAATTTAATTACCATCTCAAAACCATATATCCATAGTCACTAGTCAGTCAATCGAATAAATACAAATAACAAAACTGAACAGAGAAATAAAGTTTGGCATCCAAACAGCAAGACAAAGCACAACCTGCTCAGCCAGCTAATGCACTAATAATAATGACAATAGGATAAGGAAAAAAAAAAAAAAAATTTACCCAAAAAAAAAAAAAAAGTAAAATGTGTGATGGGGGTTGGTGGCTGCCTCCATAATTGTATCATATTGTGTACATACATGCATGCAAGCTTGCTGGTAGGGACCAGCACTCTGCAGATGAAAAATTAGCTTCACAACAAACCAACAAAGAGTCCCCTCCCAACCTCTCCCCCATTTTCACCTACTTCCATTCAAACTTTCTTACCTAAGCTAGAAATCAATTCGAGTACTGTATTAAGATATATTCTACCTAACATCATAGAACGATGCTAAAGTTGATGAAATATATACAGAAAAATAAGCACAAGTAAGCAAGAAATAAGTGGAGATTGATACACCGGAATTACAGAAGAAATTATTGTATTCTCCATACACTAATTAACAAACTTAGTACATAATAGTGTATCCCACACTAAAAACACGACCATTAGTAATGACTCTAATGGAATTCGGATCTCCCTTACAAAATCAGAGGATTAACATCCGAATTCTCAGGAAGAAAAAAAAAAAAAAAAAAAGGGAAAATAAGCCAGTCTCCGATACAGGCAAGGGTTAATTGCAGAGGGGAATGAAAATTGAAAACCCTCAAAAAACCTATTCAATCATATCATAATAATATACCTTAAAGGTCAGCTTCCTTTCAGTAGATCCTAACTATTTCTTCTTCTTTTTTCTTTTTTCTAAAATCCAAACTTTTACCATATACAAGCCAGATCCTATACATAATAAACTACGGAGTACTTCAAAATATAATATATGGCCGTCTCAGCTGACCTCTCTAAGCCTCGCTGACCTCTCTAAGCCTCTAAGGAGTTGACGTAGAAGCTTCTTGCCTCGGTTCTCTCAAGTACCCGAGAAGTGTTTCAGCCTGTAAAAAATCACGACCAAGAAATTCCTATTATCCGACCAATGCCAGAAATGTACAGCTAGCTAGCACACACCGAAGTCAAATAAAACATGGCATTACATATATGATAACACATCACAATCACTGAAAGAACCACTGAAAACAGTATTTATTCCATATTCAAGTTGCAGAAATCAAATTAAAGAATCATCAATATTTGGCATACGATTTTCCCACTTACCACAAACAGATACCAGCCCAGATTCAGCTGTGTTTCAAATTTCAATTCTTTCAATATCTTATAAAGTCATATTCTTAAAACCTCAAACAACTAATAAATGGAATAAAAGCTCAAAATACATAATAATACTATGAAGCATGTAAAAATCATCTAAACAATTAGCTAAAAATTCTGGGATTTCAATTTATCACAACTTAACTAATAGAATAGAATCAAAATCGCTAAAAGATTCATTCTTTTCATGGTAAATCGCTAAAAGATTCATTCTTTTCATGGTAAATCGCTAAAAGATTCATTCTTTTCATGGTCGAAATGGCTAAAAGATTCATTCTTTTCATGGTAAATTGTTAAATCATCAAGAATTCATCCAAAATGGCATTTTCATGGTCGAAATGGCTAAAAGATTCATTCTTTTCATGGTAAATTGTTAAATCATCAAGAATTCATCCAAAATGGCATCAAACAAACTAAACTAAGCTCACCTTGTGCTTAGCTTTAGCAGTTCCATTCTGAGACAAGGCAACAAGAGGAGGAATTCCGCCTTCTCTCACGAGCATTCCCCGGTTCCTAACACTATCAATACACAATTGCAGAAGCGTGAGCACCGCGAATTCCTTCCCCTTATCGGAGCTATCCTCAATAGCCTCCACCAGGGCCGCGATTCCGCCTTCCTCCACGATCGAATCTCTGCCAATTTCGATCCCAGCCAGGCTGTTCAACACCACCATAGCCTTCTCGGCGAGCCCGGTTCCATTCAATCCCACGAGCTCCACCAGTGGCTTCACGGCACCTGCGCTCACAGCCCTCTCCTTGTTTAGCTTCACTGAACAGAGCTTATAAAGCGTGGTTAACGAGTCCTTTTTGCCCCGGTTGGAGCCATTGATGAGCAGAGCCACCAATGGCGGAATGGCACCAGAAGCCCCAATTGACAACTTGTTTTCGTCGATCAAAGCCAGGCTTAACAAAGCGCAAGCCGCGTTCTGTTTGGACGTTTCTGTGCCGGTTTTAAGCACGTAAACCAGTGATTTCACGGCGCCGGCGTCGGTTATGATGGCTTTGTTAGGCTCGTGAAGGGAGAGGTTTAGAAGCCCCGTGACGGCGTGTTCTTGAGTCCAGGGATCGGAGCAGCGGAGGAGAGGTATAAGGGCGGGTACGGCGCCGGATTCTCCGATCAAAGCCCGATTATCAGCTCGGTTCTTGGCTAAAAGCCTCAACTTTGCGGCGGCGGATCGTTTCACCGCCACCGAGGAAGATTGTAAGCCGTCTATGCAGAGCTTCACCGTGGGGTGAAGATCCTCCGGCGATATGCTCTCGATTATTTCAGTCGAAAACGTCTCTCTCTGAAGAAACCCTTGACACGGTTCCGGCTCCGGTTCCGGGTTCTGGGTCTCAACCGGATCCGCCGCAGTCGGCAGGCTAGCGAGCCGCTGCAATTCGCCGGAAATATCACTGCTACACGCCGAGAAATCGCTGAATGTTTGCGATATCTCCAGAAATTCCTCTTCCGAACACGAGGATTTGTTGATTGCGGGCTTACTAGCGAGCTCCCCAAGCCGGATATCAACCACGGAGTCCGTCAGATTCTCCGATACGTTGCCGGATTTCTCAGAACCGGAGCATCCGCTTCTGTAAAGATTCGACCGGATGGTGCGCATGGACCGGCCAATAGACCGCTGGATTCTGGCCGAGGGCGGCGGCGGAGTGTAGTAGTAACAAGGCCGCGTTTGGTTGAAGCTATTGCCGCCGGAATTTGCGTGAGGCTGAGAATCTTGTACAGAAACCATTATCAACCCCGCCGGAAAACTCAAAGCAGAGGAATAAAAGCACACCCAGACAGATTCTTGATTTTTTTTTTTTTTTTGGTCAGAAAATTGTCAAAGTAGAGGAGTAAAAACTAAAAAGCACACCAAGACAGATTCTTGATTTTTTGTTCAAAAAAACCCCAAAGCAGAGGAATAAAAGCACACCAAGACAGATTCTATTTTATTTTTTTGATATTTCAACTCGAGAAATATTCACAACGAGGAAAAAGCAGAGAGATTGGAATTTTGCAAGATGGGCATGCAAAATTTGGTATTTTGAGACACTAAAAAAAGCGGGCAATGCTTAAGAAGTATTCATTGCAAAGATTCCTGGGTAAACTTTTGGGGGTTCGGGGAGATTCTCATTGAGCTTTAAAAAGGAGAAGAAAGCTCCGGCGGACGATAAAAATGGCGGATTTATAGAGGAAAAAGAAGAAGAGAGTGAGTAAAAATGAGTGGATTTGGTGGCATAGAGAGAGACGTTTGGTTTTGGAGAATATGCTAAGCTCACGTGCCGTGTTTGCTTCTTTAGCTCACAGTACAAGAACTAAGGGGCGTTTGGTTCAGGTTATATAACATAACCAAGGGAATGTGACATTCCAAAGCTCACATTCCGGTGTTTGGTTCATATTATCTTAGGGAATCTAATATTCCCAAGGAATGTCACATTCTCTACACATAGGATTTTGAAGGGAATGTAATTCCCTTCAAAATTTTAGGTAATGTAAGATAACCTTGGTTATGTTAGTCTATATATATATATATATATATAATTATTTTTGTAATTATATATATTTTTTATTTTTATTATGTTATGTTAGCATATAAAATAATTTTGTTTCTCAAGTTCAAGATTTTAGTTAATATTTTAAAATCATGTAATTATATATGATACCGTTATCTTATTTATTTATTTTAATTTTTAAATTTATTAAAATATATGAAAATATGTTAAGGATATTATAGTGTGTATAAAAGATAACCCTAAACCAAACATGATTATATTACATACCCTAATTTTAACCAAACACAGGAATATAACATTCCCAGTAATCTAACATTCCCAGCAATCTAACATTCCCTAAGGTAATCTGACATTCCGTGAACCAAACGACCCCTAAAAGTGTAAACCACAGTTTTTCCTTTTTTACCCAAGGGTTTTATGGCATGTTTGGTTGGGCGTAATTTGACTGTAGTTGAATTGCAATTCAGTGGAAGTCACAATTAGGCTGTTTAGTTGGAAGAAATTGCAATTTCACAAAATTACAATTTCCTCCTTTTGCTGAATTGCAATTCATGGGCACCCCTATGAATTACAATTCGGTGGTTGTGGAAAAAGGAAAAAGTGATAAAATGACAAAAGTACCCTTAATTATTACTACTATTATTATTACACAAGGACATTTTAGTCTTTATATCACTTCTTTCATTACATACCCAATAATTCTATTCATCCCTACCAAACAATGTAATTTGAATTCCTACTTTATTCGCACCTTATTCTTTTCCCACCGAATTGCAATTTCTTTCCACCCTAATTCCTTACTCCCAACCAAATGCCTTGTTACTACATCTACTTTCAAATTCAGTCAAAGTACCTCTGAAATCCCTGTACTATAGTGTTTTGTTCAATTTAGTCCTTCTACTTTAATTTTGTCCACATTAGTTCCTATACTTTAAAAATTGAAACAATTAAAGATAATAGTTGATGTGAGTAAATATTTATGTATTTATTTTGGACATATTAATGTAAAATATTGGTGGTAAAAATAATTAATTTTAAATATTTATAAAATAATATATGAGTTGGCATGTAAGTATGATGACGTGGCAAAGATAATGTCAGCGTCATATAAGCTATTGTCCTAAATTGTTTCATTTTTTAAAGTGAATGGACTAAATTGAACAAAATTAAGGTAAAAGGACTAAATTGAACAAAACACTATAGTACAGGGACCTCTACGTACTTTGACCCTCAAATTCTATTCCCTTACTTTTATTTTATAATGTGACAAATAAAGATGAGATATTTGTATCATGTAGGTCAAAAAAAAGTGTCTACATCAAAAATTTGTAAGAAAGAATAAAAATTGAGAGTAAGAAGTAAGAGTACATGTAATATTTTTCTTTTACCAAAAACTTGTGAGACAAATTATATATAATGAGATGGGTCGAGTCAAAATTAAAATATAATAATAAAAAATATAATATTAATCAAGAATCGAGTGTTTGTAACTTATTAGAGAAAAAAATATACTACCTCCGTCTCATTTTATGTGTCTTGGTTCGATTAACGAGGCTTGACTGAAGTTATTTTTAATCTAATTTTTCATAATCAACGATTTGGTCCCTCAATTAGCAGCGAACTGTCAATGTTGTCCCTTAATTGCTTATTCATCGATTTGGTCCCCGAAAATAATTATTTTTAGTCGATTTAGTCTCTCTGGCGTCGATTTGGTCCTCGAAAATAATTATTTTTAGTCGATTTAGTCCCTCCGGCCGTCGACGGAAGACGGCCTGAGGGACTAAATCGACTAAAAATAATTATTTTCGGGGACCAAATCGATGAGTAAGCAATTGAGGGACTACATTGACAGTTCGCTAATAATTGGGGAACCAAATCGTTCATTAACTCTATTTAGAAATTACACTAAAAGTACTATTAAACACATAAAAAATAAATTTAAAAATAAGTAAAAATACTAAAGAATATAAACAAACAAAAAAAAGAATTAATTTGACCTATAGTAAGTATGACAGATAAAATAGGACATAGAGAATAATATTTTTTACAAAAAGTATAATATTTTATGTTTTAATTTAAAACTATTATATTTTCTCTTATAAATAATACTTCGTAAATATTTTATTGCTATATAAATGTTACAATTTTTTATATAAATATTACTGTATATTTTAATATTGACTACTTGACTCGAATTGTCATATAAGAATAAGAATCTCCGTCTTAGGAAAATCATTTTGTTTTTAATTACAGTAATAAAGTAACATTGAGTGAGACTGAAAGATTCGTTGACAGCAGGATGGCACCAGCAGTGTGTTGGGTGTATAAAGGCACAATAGTAACGGTAGGGTCAGGACTCAGGACATAGCCACATAGGGTAGCAACTAGCAATGTATCCTTTTTTTTTTTTTTTTTTTTTTTTTTTTTTTTTTTTTTTTTTTTTTAATGTTGAGAAAAATTGATTTCGAAATTTTTTATAAAAACTCATATTTGCTAACTACATGTAGTATGATGATATATGATTATTGTCCGCATGGGCAGGTCAACTGGTTATAGAGGTGAAAATTTGAAAGAATAACTAAGGATCGAGAGGTACCATGATTTACATCTTCCGAGTTCAACTTTTGGAAAAATGATATATGGTTATTATTTAAAATGAATGGTCATAGGTTAGAGCTTTAATAGTAAGAATTTAGATTCTTTGAATTAAAAATATTTAAGAAAGTATCAAACAGATATTACTTTGTAAAAAATTATGAGTATTAAAAAAAAAACATCCATTAAACTAGAAGGTCCAAGTATGTAATATTTAAATACAGAGAAAATGACAATTTTTAAGCAATAAGCATAATAAATTAGCAATTACATTATCTAAACTTAACTTCAATTGAGTCTATTAGAAGGAGCGGACAAATTTTATTTAAAGATCTATTGAAAGAGTGAAGCTGAAGTTGGCATGGGGATTGTCAATTTTAGAAGTCATCTATTATAGTATTATGTACATATATTAACTTTATTTTTATAATTATATTGAATTAAATGATTAAATTAAATCTAAACACATACTTAAAATGATTTTTTTAGGTCAAGACCTTGTGGTTTAATGACACCAAGGTTGAACTCTCATATAAGAGGTTGTGGGTTTGAGTCTCAGTGGGAGTGGCATTAACTTCTTTGTGCTTCATTAGGTTTTATTAGTAATTTGTTTGTTTATAAGTTGAGACCAATAATTTTTTTGGTAATCAAATGGATACAAGGGTGTTTAGATAGAGACATATACACTCTAAATTATAAGCTTTTTATTTTATACATAGTACAAAAGTAACACTTTCTTATATATCAACTTGTGCACAAAAAGTGAGTGCCATGAATCGATAAATTGAATTCATTATGTTTCTATTATTGAAGAAAAAAGTGTACATTTTTTAATAAATAAAATTTAAATAGAAACAAAATTTAAAAAATTTAATTAAAAATGAGAAATGTTAATTTGTTTTTTTATTAAAATAATTCGAACTATATTATTATTGTACATTTTCATATATATATATATATATATATATATATATATATATATATATATATATATATATATATATATATATATATATGTGTGTGTGTGTGTGTGTGTGTGTGTGTGTGTGTGTGTATTAAACAAATCACTGCAATCACAACGAGAACAACAAAAGGTACATAAAAATGAGAAATATTAATTACTTACATGTTAAACTTTAACTCTTTATTCATATTGAATTCAAAAAAAAAATCAAAATTAAAATTTTGTAATTCTAAAATATATCCTTTTATAAGAATTTCAGAACCTGATATGATATAAATTTGTCAGATTCTTAATATTAGGGTTGATCAATCTGATTATTTGTTCAATAATAATAATAATAATAATAATAATAATAGTAATAATAATAATATAATAATAGTAATAGTAATAATGCTCTATTTTAAATGTAGTTATGAGTAAAATCTATTGAGATTTAAAATTTTATAAAACTCAAGGTTTTCTATTTCAATTTATAAATATTAAAATTTTACTGTAGATGAAAAAAGTAACAAGGTTCAATCATTTTTTACACTTCGGGAGAAGAGTAGGAACAAATAGCGTATGCTACAAATATTTTGACTTTAATTTGACTTCAATTTGTCTTTAAAATATCACAGAACTACAGAAAATAATGCTAGAAAGTGATGCTACATTTGCTTCTTAAATTTATATTTTAATATTATGTCGATGAGTTAATTGTCAAACACCCCTTAAAATAAGTATAAATTTGTCAATGACCTTGTGGTATAGTGACATAGAGTGACTCTCTCAATTGAGATGTATAAGTTTGAGCCCCAGTGAGAACATAATTGATTCTTTGTGTTTCAGTAGATTGAGAAAGGAGCTATGAACAGATACTAAATTGTAATAAAGTACGTGAATGCGTGCTCTAGATAGCGTTCATCTTGAAATTTTAACCAATAAAAAATCTCAACAAGATAAAACAATTTAGATCACCTATAAATCATCTGTCAAAATAAAATTGATAAACTATCAAAAAAAAAAAATTAAAACTTTATAATTACAAAATTAATTATCTGATCACAATTACCTCCTAGAATCACTGTACTTAGTATTAGATGAACCATTCATGTAAGTAAAATACGGAGTAGCATTAATTTTGTACAGAATTGGATGTGCTGACACGTGGTGTCGGCCCAGGGGGAGTACTGTGACATAGCGGGTGGGTGGTTC